TTGTGGTTGCAGGGGTCGAGTCCTAGCTCCTGGCCCCGCCTCTTCACCGGTTGCTACTAGACCCTCTCTCTCCCCGCTCCATGAGCTTTATCAAACCTCGTCTTAAAACTGTGTATGGTTCCTGCCTCCACTACGTCATTTTCTAGGCTATTCCACTGCCTTACAACTCTATGACTGAAGAAATACTTCCTACTATCTCTCTGACTCATTTGTGTCTTCAACTTCCAATTGTGGCCTCTTGTTTCTGTGTCCCCTCCCTGGAACATCCTGTCCTTGTCCACCTTGTCTATTCCACGCAGTATTTTATATGTCGTTATCATGTCTCCCCTGACCCTCCTGTCCTGCACGTTTGGTACCAATCTCTCCAGAACCTTCTAAGTGTATATTTTCATGTATCTTTCTCGCCTGCGTTCGAGGAAATACAGATCAAGGACCTTCAACTGTTCCCAGTAGTTTAGGTGCCTTATCGCACTTATGTCTGCCGTGAAAGCTCTTTATACACTCTCCAGGAATACAATGTCGCTAGCCTTGAAGGTGGCCGTTAGTGTACAGCAGTATTCCACCTAGAGAGCACAAGCGATTTGAAGAGAATCATCATGGGCTTGGCGTCCCTAGTTTTGAAGGTTCTCATTATCCATCCAATCATTTTCCTAGCAGATGAGATAGATACATTGTTGTGGTCTTTGAAGCCGAGATCCTCTGGCATTATCACTCCCAAGTCCTTCACATTATTTTTCCGCTCTATTGTATGGTTAGAATTTGTGGTATACCCTGACACATTTTTAATTTCTTCAAGTTTTCCATATCTGAGTAGTTGAAATTTCTCCTCGTTGAACTTTATATTGTTTTGAGTGGCCCATTCGAAGATTTGGTTGATGTCCACTTGGAGTCTCGCAGTGTCTTCGATGGAGGTCACTGCCATGGTGATCCGGGTGTCATCCGCAAAGGAAGACACGGAGCTATGGCTTACATCTCTATGTCAGAAATGAGGATGAAGAATAGAATGGGAGCGAAGTACTGTGCCTTGTGGAACAGAACTTTTTACCATGGCTGCCTGGGACTTTACTCTGTTTACTATTACTCTTTGTGTTCTATTTGTCAGGAAGTTGTAGCTCCATCTACCAACTTTTCCCGTTATTCCTTTATCCCGCATTTTGTGTGTTATTACACCATGGTCACACTTGTCGAAAGATTTTGCAAAGTCTGTGTATACATCTGTATTTTGTTTATCCTCTACAGCATCCTGCATATAACCACAATTTTTTTTAAAGAGGTGGACTAGTCAATCAACACACCAAAAGCTCCAGCTGTGGGTCATCATAAGACTAAGACCCGCACCAGGAAATACTTGTCCTATTTCCTGAAGAACCTACCTAACCTAACCTAAAAGTATTTAGTAAGGTAGAATATGTGTAACACCTGGGTTTTATTGGTTGGTAAGACGTGCAACATCTGGGTAGTATCATCAGTAGACTATCATACTGCACACAGTTAGGTAATCTATGTACAGAAAAGTTTCGCTAAAGCAGGCTCTATTGCATAACAGTCCACATAAAGATTTTGAGTGACGTCATCAAGACTTGAACGACATCAATCAAAGTCACACCTTGAAAGAATGTTTTAAGATCCACCCAGAATGAAAAGGACTCAACACCTGCCAAACAAGTAAACGCAAAAGCGAACTGCAAAGCACGATATGCAAAGAATGAACTTCGCACATGAGTTGAACACCAGCACGTGAACATTCAGGACTACACGACACATCGCAACAACGTGAACATCGCAAAGCAACGTGAACATCCCAAACAAACAAGAAACATCGAAATGCAACGCGAACATCGCAAAGCAACGGAACATCGCAAAGCAACGTGAACATCGCAAAGCAACGCGAACATCGCAAGAACGCAACATCGCAAAGCAACGTGAACATCGCAAAGCAACGTGAACATCGCAAAGCAACGCGAACATCGCAAAGCAACGTGAACATCGCAAAGCAACGTGAACATCGCACACCAGCAACGCGAACATCGCAAAGCAACGCGAAACATCGCAAAGCAACGTCGAACAATCGCAAAGCAACGCGAACATCGCAAGAGCAACTCGAACACATCGCAAGCAACGCGAACATCGCAAAGCAACGCGAAATCGCAAAAGCAACGCGAACATCGCAAAGCAACGCGAACATCGCAAGCAACGCGAACATCGCAAAGCAACGCGAACATCGCAAAGCAACGCGAACATCGCAAAGCAACGCGAACATCGCAAGGCAAACGCGAAGCATCGCAACAGCCACACGCGAAAATCAGCCAAAGCAACAGCGAACATCGCAAAGCAACGCGAACATCGCAAAGCAACGCGAACATCGCAAAGCAACGCGAACATCGCAAAGCAACGCGAACATCGCAAAGCAACGCGAACATCGCAAAGCAACGCGAACATCGCAAAGCAACGCGAACATCGCAAAGCAACGCGAACATCGCAAAGCAACGCAACATCACACCACCTCACAAGATGCAGACGTAAGCGTACAGTTCACTCGAATACAGACGGACTCGCCAGCAGAGCATCAGCGATCAGCACGACATATCAGCAGCATCGCAGCAACATCAGCAGCAGCAACGCATCAGCAGCACACGCATCGCAGCACGCAACATCCAGCACAGCATCATCGAGCAGCATCAGCAGCACAAAGCATGCGAACACAGCAAGCAGCAGCATCATCATCAGCAAGCAGCAGCAATCATCATCAGCAGCACCAGCAGCAGCATCACGCAGCACAGCATCATGCAGCATCGCACACAGCAGCACCAAGCATCATCAGCACACGCTCAGCAACATCATCATGCACGCAGCAGCACACATCAGCCACTAGCAGCATCAGCAGCACAGCAAGCAGCAGCAGCATCAAGCAGCATCAGCATCCAGCCATCAGCAGCAGCACTGATCAGCAGCATGCAGCAGCATCAGCACAGCATCAGCACAGCAGCAGCATCAGCATCATCAGCAGCATCAGCAGCAGCAGCAATCACAGCACATCAGCAGCACGCAGCATCAGCATGCAGTATCAGCAGCAGCACAGCATCAGCACAGCACATCAGCAGCACGCACATCATCAGCCAGCAGCCATCAGCAGATCAGCACAGCAGCATCACGCACAGCATCAGCACAGCAGCCATCAGCAGTCAGCACAGCAGCACAGCATCATCGCAGCATCACAGCAGCGCACACATCAGCAGCAGCACAGCATGCAGCAGCATCATCAGCACATCACATCAGCATCAAGCGCGCAGCAAGCTCAGCAGCTCACAGCACAGCACCAGCATCAGCAGCAGCAGCACAGCATCATCAGCAGCACAGCAATCATCAGTCAGCAGCAGCATCAGCAGCACAGCAGCTCTACATCAGCATCAGCACCAGCAGCAGCATGCCAGCAGCACGCAGCAGCACATCATCACAGTCTCCAGCACAGCACCAGCATCAGCAGCAGCAGCCATCAGCAGCAGCCATCAGCAGCAGCTCAGCACAGCCAGCAGCAGCACAGCAGCATCACAGCAGCAGCATCAGCATCATCCAGTCCAGCGCAGCATGCAGCATCAGTCAGCGCAGCAGCGACACAGCAGCAGCAGCAGCAGCAGCAGCATCAGCAGCAGCAGCAGCATCAGCAGCAGCAGCATCAGCAGCATCAGCAGCAGCATCATCATCATCAGCAGCAGCAGCATATGCTTCACGGAAAACCTTACTCAGGAAGGCTCACTTATGCTCCCGCTGTTCATCTTCGAGTGGTAAGTCAAGAAAAAGAATTTCACATCAATTTCTTTTTCAATCCCCAACGTGTATGAGCAATTAAGAACGCATCCGCATAATTCTACTCGTATAAAATAATAATGTAAACACACTGAACATGTCCTAGGAATGCAAGTCTTTATTACTGCTGGGTTTTCCATGTTTTTCCCCATAGTTCCAGACTTACGGAACACCCAGAAGGGAGGACCTACTCGCCAAGACAATCACAAACACACGCTGACAGGTCTTGCTAGATTATGGAGGTATTGCAAGCTCCTCTTCCATTCCTTGCATAATATCAGGTGTGTAATAACCATTTCCCTCACATGGTCGACAGATTTGACTCTTCGGATAAATAGTGAATATAAGGAAGTGATTGCTGCAAATTTATATCACTACCTGCGCCTCGTAGTAAAGAAAGATGTAATGTATATTATTCAGTCTGAGTGCAACACTATAGTTTACAGTCTCAAATTTCCTTACAGGTGCTTCAATCTACAGAGCCCAACTGGAGGTACACATGAAGTGAATAAGTCAATATCATTAACATTGATTACCTTGTTGACCACTATCTTCTTATTGCTTTACGTTGACGAAACTAGAGTATAACTTTCCACTGTAAGGAATTTCACAATCAGGCAATACTTGTTGACCAGCAGTATTGTAAATAATTCAGCGACAGTAATCATCACTGTCCGCCACACTCCACATTGGTGTCATCACTTGCATGTCTCATCATCTCTCGCAATGCCCTCCAGGTCAGTATTTTAAGTTATTATTAAAATAACAATGAGAAAGAGAGAAATACATGCGTGTCATACAGCGTCTGGAGAATGGAAGGTAATCATATTTAATACAAGGAAGGCTGGGTTACTTTACATTCCTTCGATCAAGAGCTCCTCACCAGTATGAATTCATCCCATTGAAAGGGTGTTAAGGCTGTAACATCTTCACAGTCCTCCACACACACACACACACACACACACACACACACACACACACACACACACACACACACACAGGCCACTGCCAGTGTCACTGCCGCAGTTATACTGGCTGAAGATCTTCATTATCAGAGGTCAGATCAGGAAACTGAGCCAGTGAGTCATGCAACGCATACTAAGCTAATTACATTAAGCATTTACTAATGAGGAATCTGCTGCAATTTATTCTATTAATTTTTGTCGATGGGTTTAATACACACAAAAATTACTTACATGTTGTGTTGTTCTCCAGCTCTGGTTCCAAGGTGAACATCATGCACTGGGGGACCTGTGGTAGGAAGTACTAATCAGTGTTCCTGGATATTAGTGTTTCAATATTTTCATAATATACTTAAAAATCTACTCTCAACTTAATATTATTACAGTCATGGGGAACCTTTAAACCCGTCAGTCATTCTGCGATTGGGGAAACGGGAAGTAATCAAGTTTGATCCAAGGGAGAGAATATAGCTCCAATTCCTCAGAGAACCTCAGATTCTACACTGAATCTATCTGGAGCATTTATGGCTCCTGCAGCATAACCAAGCACTTCCGCATAACAGCGCAGAGAGAGCTACATGACAGGCTGGAGGATACAATCAATGGCTCAGCATGACGACTGATTGTCTGCATCACTAACACCCATAACACTGCTGGTGCTGGTAGTGGTAGTGCTGGTACTGCTGGTAGGTATGCTGGTGTAGTGCTGATGTGGTGGTAGGTAGGCTGGTACTGCGTGTAGCAGGGCAAGAAGAGAGGTGGTAGGAAATGAAGTAATAAGTAAGATGTTATGGGAAAAAGAGATGTACGTGAGGGATAGAAGTGTTTGAGGTGTAAGTGGAGGTGTTAGGGGAAAGTATGCACATGGTATGGAGACCAGAGAAGTTAAAGGAGGCGGATCAGTTGCATGACACTACAGGCGCCATGATCACCGCAGACAGAGTCATCTTTACTGCAGAGAGAGATGTTATTCCTACTCCAGTGAACCTGCGGCAGGCGTCTCCACTCCTGGCAACAAACTACCACTCAAGAGGAAGACTTGTAACCTGACACTTTTCCACGACGGACTGAAAAGCCGTCATGAAGTTCCTCTCCAAAATGCAGCTTATGGTGAATTGTTCCAGTCACAGTATTGTGACTTTGTTCGTCTCCTCTCTTGTATTATCCTCATTATAACCTCCCTTGAAGGAATGCACTCCGTTAACCTGTTAAAGATGTAATGATCAACCTCTCTCGTATGCTGTTACCTTGTTACTATGCTCTTACCTTGTTACTATACTGTGATGATGTAAATAACAACGATCTCTGTACTGTACTTTATAGGTTAATTTGTTAGTCTGTTAGGTTTGAAAGCCATTGATTTCACATGGGTCATTAAGCCTCAAAATCACCTGCACGCTAACATCATGGGTACTTTAATCCCTGTGACACGAGAGAGAGAGAGAGAGAGAGAGAGAGAGAGAGAGAGAGAGAGAGAGAGAGAGAGAGAGAGAGAGAGAGAGAGGGAGAGAGAGAGAGAGAAGAGGCGAGAGAGAGAAGAGAGAGAAGAGAGATTGAGTCTAGGAGAGAGAGAGTGAGCTAAGAGAGAGAGAGAGCGAGAGAGAGAGAGAGAGTAGAAAGATGAGAGATAGAGAGAGAGAGAGAGAAGAGAGCATGAGAGAGAGAGAGTGAGTACGATGAGAGAGAGAGCGAGAGAGAGTGAGTGAGAGTAGATGAGTCAGAGAGCAGAGTAGAAGTCAGAGAGAGAGGAGAGAGTGTGATGTCATTGGACACAGACGGTCAGGAGTGGGAGAGCAGAGTAGAGGTTGAGTAGAGAGAGAGAGAGGAGTGGGGAGACAGAGTCGAGGGTAGAGAGAGTGAGATGGACAGAGATGAGTGAGTGGTAAGATCAGAGGTGGACTTGAGAATCAGCGGAGGTGAGTAACAGCGTGTTATGAGTACATCGAGTACAGTGCTGGTACGTCAGTCAGTGGCTTGGTACATCAGTCGGTGGCTTGGTACATCAGTCTGTGTCTTGGTACATCAGTCAGTGGCTTGGTACATCAGTCGGTGGCTTGGTACATCAGTCTGTGTCTTGGTACATCAGTCTGTGTCTTGGTACATCAGTCAGTGGCTTGGTAATCAGGTCGGGGTTGAGACAAGTCAGTGACGTGGCTTAGTGCACAGTCAGTGGCCTGGTGCATCAGTCGGTGGCTTAGTCATCAGTTCAGTGCCTGGTGCATCAGGGTACGGTGGTTGTGATAATCCAGTGGCCGGTGCATCTGTGTCTGGTAGCATCAGTCAGTGGCGTGGTACATCAGTCAGTGGCTGGTGCATCAGTCTGCCTGTCCTGGTACACAGCGCAGTCGGACTTGGTCAATCAGCGGTGCTTGAGGTAAGAGTCGTTATGGACATCAGTTGGGCTTGTGACACAGTGTCATGGCTAAGGGACATCAGTCGGTGGCCTTAGTGCATCAGTCGGTGGCTTAGTGCATCAGTCAGTGGCGTGGTACATCAGTCAGTGGCCTGGTGCATCAGTCGGTGTCCTGGTCCGCTGGCTGTAGCTTAACACGCTGCTCTGACTACAGATTATGCAACTTCACCGTATTTGAGGGAAGAGCTTCCGTTATGCACTATTGAAGAGGAAGGAATGTTGCAAGCGCCCAAGAATGTGCTGAGCTAGAGGAGGGAATGTTGTAGGGGCCTTGCGATGTGCTGAGCTAGAGGAAGGAATGTTGCAGGGGCCCTGGGATGTGATGAGCTAGAGGAAGGAATGTTGCAGGGGCCCTGGGATGTGATGAGCTAGAGGAAGGAATGTTGAAGGGGCCCTGGGATGTGATGAGCTAGAGGAAGGAATGTTGTAGGGGCCCTGGGATGTGATGAGCTAGAGGAAGGAATGTTGCAGGGGCCCTGGGATGTGATGAGCTAGAGGAAGGAATGTTGCAGGGGCCCTGGGATGTGATGAGCCAGAGGAAGGAATGTTGCAGGGGCCCTGGGATGTGATGAGCTAGAGGAAGGAATGTTGAAGGGGCCCTGGGATGTGATGAGCTAGAGGAAGGAATGTTGAAGGGGCCCTGGGATGTGATGAACTAGAGGGCAATTTTTTGAATTAATGGAATAATGTTTTGGGATGGAAAATATGTTGATGGGAGAGATGGAAGGAAGAAGTACACGGAAAAACATGAAAAGCTGATGAGTACATGGGACTAGACGGGGAAGACAGCAGATCATCTTACTGTCTACACAAAAAGTATCTGCTATTTCTGTAGGTATCTAATTCTGTCACGACAGATGAAAGAGTGAGAGAGTCTTACATACATGAGAACAAGTAATGATTACAGAACCAAAGTTCCCATTAAGATAGGAAGCCTGAGAAAGTAGAACGTTCCATCACCGTGAAACAGACATGCATTCATTTACGCAGTTAACTTGCAACAAGTGTAAGTATACTGATACACTCGGTTCATGAAGGTTCTGGCTGCTTCAACGCTAGTGAAAGTTAACTCAAGTAAGCAACTCGTTAACAAAGGTATGAACCTTTGGGCTATCAATCATCGAACCACGAATGACGACAAATCTCATATATGGAAAACCTGTATAAATGGACACTACACAGACTACCTGTGTAACTACAGAGTATCTGTGTAACTACAGAGTACCTGTATAGCTACACAGTGTAACTATACAGAATATCTGTGTAGGTCTTTAAAAAGACGATTTGCTTTGCAAGACGTTTTAATTAAAGTTGTCTACGCGATTTAATACATGTCAACTTGACACTTTATCTTTTAAACTACACATTTAGTAGAAATCTTCCATACCACAAGCATTGCAAAAATCCCAGGCAATTGTATCGTATCCTCGGGGTTGTTTGAGGTCAACACCGCCATCAACACTCACGATCGGTGCTGTAACAACCATTCACAGTCTCCTCTGCTCCAGTAATGCTGCAGAGTTGCGACAAGTATATGGTGCAGACGCAACTTAGGTAAGTTTTCCCTGAGGACGCACAGGAAATGAGCGTAGCTGACAACTGAGTGTGGGATCCTGGCTTGACCCTGGCCAACGTGATCATCAAGTGTAATCTTCTCTTGCGCTGTGCGTTAAAAAGTATTGCTATGAGGGACTGAAGGTCACAGGGATAACTAAGTCTACACTAGTGATGTACACCACTGACAGAGAGAATACCCTCAGGTGTAGAAATGTAGACATTATTATAATCAAAAAGCGCTAAAATGTTGGAATGTAGACATTATTATTCAGGTCTATATTGAAAATTCCTTAGTTTTTTAAACTATTATATTAATATTTATAATAAAAATTACACAACATTAATTTATACAACTGTTGCTTACCTGAGACATTAATTTAAACGTAATAAAAATATAAACTTTTCTTCGAGGGCTCTTGATCCAAAAGATTAGATGTATTCATGTTTCCTTGAATCAAAATTAGATTACCTCTCATTCTTCTTCCTCAGTATTGTAAGATCCTGACGAAAACTAAAACTTCATAATTTATATAACACTGTAACAATAATCTTTATTCCTACACGTACACGAACAAGAGAGTCGCTTGTTATGCAAAGTATTTCGGGGGATATTAGGTAAATTTTGTCCCAGGATGCGACCCACACCAGTCCACTAACACCCAGGTACCTATTTTACTGATAGGTGAATATGGACAGCAGGTGTCTTAAAGAAACATTTCCTAATGTTTGCACCCATACCAGGGATCGATCCCCAGACCTCACTGTGTGAGCTGAGTGCGATAGCAATCGAATTACGAGACACAATATTCACCACACAAAAATATATACGCTGTTAGCGCAACTCAAGTCCGCAGTTAATTTTTCATTACAAGTCGAGTACCTTTCGTGCATGTAGAAACGAGAATACAATTAATTTTTAAAGGGGTGAGCGGGTAAGCCAGTGGAAGGCCTCGGTCAGATAACCAAAAGCTCCAATGGTGGGTCATTATATGACTAAGCCAGCGTCGGGAAACACTTGGCCTCTTTCCTGACAAATCTTACCCAAGTGTATATATTTTTCTATTAAATCTCGTATCAGGAGATACCGTTATTTCCTGACGAATGAACACCACAGCGGAATATCTGATGATCCACTCACCATCACTGTTACCTGACGATGGTGATAACAACGGCCACGACCTCCTCACCATCACTGTTACCTGACGATGGTGATAGCAGCGTCCACGACCTCCTGCACCACCACTTTTATAACAATATTAATATCAAAACCACCCATTATTCCTCAGTACTTGGCGTTTATGTTATTGATTACACTATTATTATTTCTGACAATTTTATATTCATTGAGAAGCGCTAGATTCGCAAGGGTCAGACAACACCTGGGACAGGCCTAGCAAACCTATAAAACGCATGAAATCTATTTTTTTTGGGGGGGGGCACTAGGCAGTCAATGCTGTCCCATTCCTTTTACCAGACCATTTATGCTGTATCCCCACCTTTACACCCCCCCCCACTCTCCCACACAATATATTTATTTTGACAACAATAACAATATATATACAATAATAGGTATGAATTACCTCAGCGTACTCATATGTACAAAATCCAGAGAGATTACTCTGATAACTAATTGTATAAACATACAGAGAAACACACACACTACAAGGCTTCCATGTCCACACTGACACCATAAGACGGGCAGGGAGGACTTTGTCACCCCCACATGAACACACATAAAAAGTCTATGTAAACTAGGGTCCTTAACTATACCTGTATTATGTAAATACCACAATTAATATAATACAGCAGGTTATAGTTAATTTTCGTTAATATTATTTGCTTGGTTAACTTCAATCATATCTACTACACGAGGGTAATTAAGGTAATATGTTACCTGTTCACCACCAGTCAAAAATATTTTAATACCTAAGAGTTAAATTAAATTAGTCAAGAAACAGGAGAAATACTTCAAGAAACAGATCTGTCAAATGATGGCCCTTCTTGGTAGTCCATTCCCTTTAAAAATATAATATAACGTCATTTGATAACAATTATTATTTAATAATAATACTAGAAGTAATAAATTATTATTAAGTATCCTCCCCCT